ACATAAATACTCGGTTGTCTTACACTGCATCTGATATCGACCAGTTGCTATATAAAACTATCCGATGGTGGTCCCACAGTCCAGTATGTCGCTGTATCGATGTGAAGTCTGTGTTCATCAAGTATTTGGGCACGGAGTTATGGCGAGTCGTTTGAAGATAAAGTTCTTCTGAGAAAAACCTACATTTTGCGCTAACATATGGGAAGAGATGTAAACCTGAGTAACACGGGAACAAGCACAACTAGTATTCATTAGCTATTTTTAAATGCTAAAATTGGATCTCAGTGACAGGTGTCTGTGGTTTGGGCGCAACTGTACCGTGAGTTGCATGGATCGTTTTAATACCGGATCGTTTTTATGAAGTAAGAATGCCACGTGTCTTAGTCCAATTTTCCTGTAAACAATTTGTCGCTTGCTGGGGATTTACACATGTACATGTGAGGCAACAATCATTGGCAGTGGGGTTTGATGAAATAGTCAGAGGAAAACCTAGGTAAAATTTGGCTATGCTCATGCCTTTATCCCGAGACAAAATAACGATAAACTCTTTGTAAAGTAAAATTTCAGTAACTGGTATAAACTGGTCCCTTGACATTCATGAGAGCAGTAGGTTTTGGGAACACAGACCGACAAAAGCGCCGCCAATTATAGTTTGATGCGTTGGTTGGGCAAGTGGTTCTTGGAAAAAAGTCTAGTAGTTCATCTTTGTTCCTAAAATTCTTAGATAATATGTTTTCAAATCTAAAAAGGTGGGTCAAATTTCGGGTGGATACCCTGCTTAAAAACTAGTAAAGTAAAGGAACGTTGAAAAAAAGTTGTACCAATATAACTTTCAGGGCAAAGTTTTCCTGAACTCTAGCTGACACAGTGTCCCACCTCAGTTAGAATTGTTGAGTATTTTTATTGTATTATTATCAGATTTATATAGCCAACTCACAATGAGTTTCAATTCATCCTTTTTGAAGGAAATAGTTTAAAAGTTGGTAATAATATAGTGAAATACGTCTGTTAGATCGCACAGAAAATGATCTATCCGGTAAATAATATTTTGTATAAATCAAGGAAACAGTAAAAAGAAAATTGTTTAACTAGATAATTAAAGTATCAGAACATTGCATGCGTTTTGAAAACCGCATCATTGAAGGAATTATTTTTGAAAGCATTCACCTCTAGCGTATTTGAGTGTAGAGATATCAGGTACACTTGTCACGCTGTGTGAATTTATAGAACCAATGGAATAAAGCAAATTGAATGAGTTTCGATGTTGGTTGAATACCGATGCACTCTTTCGAAACGGAAGCAATCATGCTATCCGAAAATGTTTTCTAGGCTGAATCATATCTCTTCAACACGACAGATGGTCTAATATTGTCAAACGGTCTTTCTTTAGGCGGCATTCAACCTCCTATGATTAAGTAGTTGATCAAGTGTTTACCTCAACCGTCAGCAGTTCACACGTTACAAAGGTCGTACATCTTCACTGTTGCCCTTTTCACAAGGAGTACTGCAAGGCAGTATTTAATCTCATTCTCTATTTCCCATCTACATGTATTCTTTGCTTAAAATCAATACTCCTATTCTTGTTACGCATGGTAACAATTTGATTTTCGGACTAAACCACTTCAACTCATCATCCCAGATCTCTCTACAGGATGATATGACAATTAGTGGAATGGTGTTAACAAAGGTACTTCCGTATAAACCCCCTAAATGTAATATTCTGATTTCCTCCCGTTCAGAAGGTAAAAATATGATGAATTGTGAAATACTAGCCCCGCTTTATCTGTCTCAAATGACCAGATCAATCGACTACCATTTGTAAAATAACTTGATGTTATTTTCAATCGTAATGTCATCTTTTCTGACCATACCAACGATCTTTTCTATAGGGCAGAAGGCTCACGTTTTATTTATGTCCTGAATCATTCCAGAACCTTATTCATTTTAGGCGTTCTATTGCCTTTCTCACCTCTCACTAGCTTTATGGGTCCCCTGTTATATTCACCATTTTAATAAAAGGACCAAACACGTATTCCTCTATCCCTCAAGGTTCTCTCTTTATTTAGTCATACACCACGGGAACTTCTGATATAGCATGTGTAGGCAGACCACCGAAGTAGGTTATCTGATTTTTCCCATTCCTCATGTCCTGCTCTTAGTCAGCGTCGTCCTGAGTTATCCGCCCGTTTCNGGTATAAACTTATGATGAAACACACTGAAGCTTACAAGCGCTGTGTTTTTCTGTATCTCGCCAGATTTCTCACAAATCATGAACCCGATGCAGCCAATCCGCGCAAAATACTAATCTAAACCGAGGATAACTACCATGGTATGAAATGAGTTGTTTTATGTCGTTGTCCGTTTCAATTTTTTAAACTTCTGTATTAGATTTCTTATTGTTTGACAAATTGCAGTTATTTGGTAGCTGAATATCCATTCCTAGGAGTTCATACAGCAATTCCTTGACTTGACTGGAGACATGCTCGCCCAGTAAAGGGGAAAGTGTTAAAACATATCAGCTCAAACCTGGATGATCCTCTGTTTGTACGATAGATACCGGGTGTCGGGTACCATGCAAAGTGCTCTTTCATAGGAAGGTAGAACATCAAAAGGTTTGATGAGTAAACGGCTTCTCTCCTAATAACTGCACCCGTCTGGAAAATGGGGAAAGTAACATTGATTTCCCCTGTTGGTTGCGACGTAATCACAACTATTTCTCAGTTGCGAATACCATTCTGAGGTACAATCGTGTTCTAACAAAAGACGGTTATTTACGAGATAACATTTAGAACCGTCAGAATATATCGCTGTTTTGTTTGGTAAGTGTCAAACCAGTGTTGAAAAGCGTCCATAGGGTTATCAACGCTTTTCTATTATCAATGATTGTTGAACCGGTTTTGACAAAGCATATTTCCGTTGTAGAACCACTAATTCTAAACCACTGCATTTTTACCTTTTGCTAGCCCGCAAAAATGATTACTGACGCACTAGTTCATTCACAAGATATCCATTTTTAAATTACGAGAAAAGTGAACTTAGCACGAATGAAGTTAGACAAGGAGAAAACTGTCAGCCATAATCCCAAGAGAGTGAGGACGATACAATTTCACAATCTTCTTACACTCTGATGTTTTGGGGTTTGCACGGCTTCCACGATCAGTCGTCTGAGTCGGCATTGGATGGAGAAATAAGGACTGCATATTAGGCTTAGTGTTTATTAATTTTCAGTCCCGTTCTAAGAAGGATGAGGTTACAGTTGACACGTTGGAACCAGAGTATTTTACTAAATGATGTTCACAGTTATGTTTGTACTTCAATTGTTTTTCTTCATTTTTTGGGTTGTAAACATAATGCAATAATGTCCAAAATTCCTATTTCATTTGCAAAGTTATACTTAACTTTATCATGCTTAAATGAAGTTTTGGCATTCAATGATGGCTATAACAAAGCTGCATTTCAATTTTTTTAAAATAAAGACAATTCTTGACGTCAAAATTAACTTAAGTTTTGTTCGGATGGTCGATTTACGTGGACACCATTTGGATTATACTTTCTTTTGATTTATTGAATGAAACCGCATCTGATTAGTTAGTTATTAAACCTCCAAAGTTAATGAGGACATTTGAACTATCAGGAAATAGAGGTAATTAAAAGGAGAGGAAAACTGACAAGAAGTACCAACCATTAAAATTTAGAAAATCTTTGTCCTTGCTATGATGACAACGTTCTTCGTTGCGTGTACAATATGATAAAAACATAATGTGCTATTTGTGGAAAAGACCGAACCTTTGTGGACTGAAACATAAAGGGTTATTTTGAACAAACCAAATGTTGAAACACATATTTTTTGACGGTTTTGGCGAGTTAATGTAGGTAGGAAATGATCATTATCAACGCATTACAAGGATATGCTGTTATCAGAGAAACTAAACAAATCGTACGTATCACAAAGGTTTTGATATTTGATTACCATTGATTAAAAGACTCTGTAATGTACAACACCAAAATTAGCTTCTGTAGATGAATTCAACAACATTGTTAAGTCAATATCTTCTTATTCTAGATGAGTAAATGTTCGAGCTTAACAACGATTGGTTATGCATTGTGCATTAATTCTTTGGTCGATATATCAGCAATGAGTGTGCCAAATAAGCAATGGTTGAGGTCACATATTATAGGTTACCGTTGAGTTTCATATTGATTTTTTTCATTTTATTAAAACCTTAACTCGTATTGAATCAAATGTGTGTATCCAGATAGAAATCTTGTAGACGGTGAAGGCGGTGAAGTGTTACATTGAAAACACTAGTAAAAAGATAATTTTTGTTCAGAATAGAGCTCCTATTGACAGAACCAACTAGAATAATAATTTTTCCGATTTAGACTTCTTTCACGCCAGGGCAAATTACTGCAAGGTTTCGGCAAAATCTCACTCCAGCGTGGAACACCATAGTTGAGAACCCCTGTTCAATAATTCACATCAAATGTCTCTCTCCTTCACTCGTCTATTTGCGAGAAAAACTCCTCACTGCCCAAAACCTTGGAAATCCTTCGGAATGTCGGTGTAATGCAAATGACCTGTGGGTGAAAGAGATAGTTGAATCAGTCTACGTTTTGTGTAAAAGTTTTCCAGAACAAAACAGATGGTTCGCATCGTAAAACAAACAGACAACGTTGGATGTAAGGTCAAGTGTCACTGAACTTTGAAAGGGTACAGTTAATGGTTTACTGTCAAGATAACTGGAAAAGGTGTAATCTATGATTTCAGAAAAAAATATTCGTGGTCTATAATGAAAATTTGAGCTTAACAACNTTATGGTGCGTTTATTTAATGGGGAAACAGTGAAATGATCGTATGCTAGTGTCATTAATTCTCCTCGAGAATCGATCGACTTACATGCAGTTGTGTTTGGAATTCAGATTATGTGAACTCTGAGAGAAACCTAGCCGCGATAATTGCTCTATATACTTTTTTACGGTGAAAATTGGTTTTTACCTACCATTTCTCGATACTTTCGTTTGGAAGCGTCAAACGATTGAATCAACGCAGCTGCGTGGCCCACAAACAGAGCGTAACACGTTGCCCCGGTCATCATGCTTACAATTGTGATCCATGCTTCCGGCAAACTGCTCGGAGGATAGCGTCCGTACCCAANAATCGAGAGCATATGTGATAAGGCTTTGAACAGAGCCCAAGTGTACTGCTCGAACCAATGAGCATTCTGTGATGGGGAAAAAATAAAGAATGAAATTCTTAGTCAAATGCTTATCAAGATATCAAATGTCTTAAGGTGAAATTTACAAAATTGTGCTTTACTCTAGCCTAAGAATAAATGCCTTGAGTCGCATCAATAAACCTCATGCAGAACACATTTCAGGGTTGCTTGGAATATCGAAAAAAATATATATAATGGAATGAAAAAGAGAAAGATTTTAGTAATAATTTGCGTATAATCATCGGATGTGTATTTGGAAATGAAACACAGACACGATGTTTGGCCCACCCAAAGCCATAATATGCGATGAAAGAATGAATACACTAGCACAACTATCCAAAACAATCGACCGGAAATTCATCTTGAGTTTGAATTCATTAATGTAAGCTAAATTATCACACCATAGTTCAGTATTCTATAATTTTCTTTCTGTGTTTCTCTTCTCTTCTCCTCTCGGCGTGCTCCGATGAACCCATGATGAAACGTCTGGGCTGCATCTTACTGACCTGCAGTTGCGCAGTCCACCGGAGTTACACTTGAATATGGTGTTATCCCGATTCGGTTGAAAGCCTTGAGCATTATAAATGTGCGGTTTATCACTTGCACTCCGCGATTTGCAACGATGCGTAACGAGAAAATTCACAACTGTGAACGGCACAGTTTTGTTGAAGATAAAAGTAAAAATTTGTCCACCAGTTGCTGATTCCGCGAATCTCTATTTGCATCTTGAGTCTTGTAATATTGAGGGAGGTAGAATACGTTCTCGTTTCTTCTTCCGTGCTGTCTACTGAGAGCGTTAGTTCTTCCAAGCCGCCCTTCTTTATGTGAAAATCGTCAAAGGAATTGGTGAAATCACGAAGTCGTAGAGATGTTTCGTGAAAGATTTGTGATGGATCCGTGCTTATTACAAACAAAAAATGATTCAGTCATTACTTCCTGATGTGCTTTGAAAAATACTTCTTTATTCTACAAAGGAATTTCCTTTTATTGTGGGCATAAGGCAAATAGCTGCAGCTGTTCTAGTTGGTTTATTCACCTAATCGGGGCTCACCTGCAAGTGCGCCTTTGAGACCCAACTTTGAACGGGAAAATCCATGAGCATCGGGACGAGAAATTGCAAGCAAGCATTCCAATGTCCCAGAAGAAGCATTATGAGGACCAAATTGCATATCCCCATAAATTTATTTGCAATGTTGACCACCTGAGTGGAAGGTACAAAGTGGATTGAAGGATTTATCAATAAAAGTCATTTTGAGTAAAATTCTTAACCAAAGTGGACGGACCACCATTGAACAAGACTGATGCAATTAGCTTCATCAGTTATCTCATTTAATTTGAGTGGTTAGAAGATGTGGCGTAAATTAGTTTTGTGTGATGTGCTTGTGAGTTATACATGTGAAAACGGAAAACAGTGCCAAGTCTGGAGTAGGAACACATCATTGTTTTGACGACTGCTGACAAGCGAGAACATTAAACAAGTTTAATTGTATATCTGCACAGTAGAACGTACCTCTTCCCATTGCGTGATATATCGCACCAGGCGTGACAGTCTTAATAATCGCAAAAGACTGAGCAGTTTCGCCAATCGAAGAATTCGTAGTGCTCGACCTGGAAGGCGATTCAAGTGAGAGCACTGAACAACCAGCATGGGGAATACAGTGGATTTGATGCACGCTATGCTTATTTCGTGAAACATCGATATGATTGAAGCAATTGCCACCCTGTGCACACATTGGTTTGGGAAGGACCATAATGACTATGGCTACGCGACAAACTTTGTTACACATAGGAACCTGATTCAGCTCGATTAGTATTGCACTTATTTTGAAAGAACATCCTTCCCACCAGTGTTATAGTTCGTGCGTGGGGATACTAACACGTTTTGGACACTTGTTGTTTTAGGAAAACATAACACAGTGTGGTTGAAAGTAAAAAACAGGATAAATAGATTTTTTTTCTGGACTATGTCCGAATGGTAAACGAAAATATTAGAACGATTTGTTCTTTCTCAACCCATTTAGGCATATTAGACCTCCAGGTCTAATATTTATTCACGTTCAGAGGCTAGTACTGGATGGGTTATTTACACGGTGAGTGAAGCAGTCATACCTCCACGTGTCACGTGACTCTATCTTGAAAATAAACGTACAATAATTCACACTAATATTTACCATAAGTCGGTCGTAGCACTAGAATGCAACCCGCACTAACCAATATTCCGTCCATGCTATGCTATCTAAATGGTACTTCATATGACCTTCCTTCAAAATAATTCCATGCCAGATATGTGATGAAGTATATTTGATGGCATTTATGATTACTGAGGAAATGTTTATACATAAAGTGATTTAGGAAATATATGTTTACCAATTCAGTAATCAGACAGGCACCGTGTTTTGGTCGCTATATAAAGGGAGGATTAAAAGATTTTTGAATTGGCTCGCACAGGGCTGTGAATGAAAGCCACAGTTTATGACAGTTTTGATAAGTAACGAAAAGTCGGATAGTGTTACTAACTAAACTGATAGTTACGCTTCAGCTGGATATTTCGAATCCGACGGAATCGAATAATATGTTGAAACCTCAAACAATCTGCAATGTTTGTCAAAAATAAAACTATTTTCAGAAGGAGGTAGTTCTCGCCTTCCCTAAAAGCCTTATTGTTCATAGATGTAAGATGCATGAAGCATCAGTACATCTCACAAAATAATTCCCAGAAAAACCAATAAATAGCTGGCTTAAGTGGACTTTTCAGCTATTTGTTTGATGGATTTATTGTTTGTAATGTTGAAATGCATAATTATTCTGAGGAGAATGCTGATGTTGACTGATAAATCCATCCCAAGTCGGGTACAGTCAATCACCACAATTCCTTACGACCCCCTTCAGTTTGCATATAAACCAAACAGACCTGCATTGAACGCCGTATCAACTCTAATGCATTTTATCAGAAAGTTATTTAACGATTCGGCCAAGTTTATCCGTTGTGTTTTCCTCGACTATTCTTCTGCGTTTGCTTCCGTTTCCCGATAGCCTTCTTTTTAAACTTGAATCTTTTGGTGCTCCAAAACAGCTATTGTCATGGCTTTCTGACTATTTTACACAGAGGCTCCAGTGCACCAAATTAGGAAGGAAGGCATCAAATCCTCTTGGTATTAATTCTGGTGTCTTTCAATGTGCTGTTCTATCTCCATATCTTTTTTCTGCCTTTATTAGTGATCTTTTGGTCCCGCCCCCTGAGCACATCCAAAAGTATACTGATGACGTCCCTCTGTGTCAGACAATTTCATCTCCTTCGGAATTTCATTCTTTTACTGAAAATCTATCCCACATCCAACAATTTTCTAACCAATCTGGTTGCAATTTTACCATATCTAAGTGCGTAAAGTGTATTATCAGTCTTTATCACTCCGCATTTTCAACGGACTCTGCTAACCTTAGCGGTAAACCTATATCCAAGTGACCCCAGTCAAGTACCTGGGTGTCACTGTCGTCAGCAATCTTCATTGGTTTACACGTATTTACAACTGTGTGGGAAAACTGAGACGCCTATCTTTTCAGTTACGCAAACCCAGGCAATCCGAGCCCCACAGTCACTCTTGTTATCAATGCGTTTTACTCATTTTACTCTATTGCTCCCCTGTACTATTTCCCGGTCTTTTAAAACACGACTTCAAAACAATTCGCCGCGGTTTGGTGATTTTCAGTCGTGCATCAATAATTCCGACAGACTCATTAATCACAGAACTCATTGATGGTCACATCAAATCTTGTTTTAAATTTATTTGCTCATACGATTCTAGATGACCCTCTTCATCCACTACACGCTGATCCATAGTCTTATCGTTCCCATCCGTCCACACGCTCCTCATTTTGAAATCTATTCTTTCGTATTACCAATGATAAAATTTCCCTTGTAACCTACCTGGTTGGGCTCCTAGCCAAAAAGGAACGGGTTCCAAGTAAACTACGTCAAACGTTTTGTAAATGAAACACATATCACAGACAATCTTTACCTTGCACATTATTCATTATTATTTCATTATTATTACCATTATTGTTATTTTTTCATTTCGCGTAACGAATAGTGTACGTTTTTAACTGAAGTGTAAGCATATGTGCTTAGACAAGCTATACAAATACAAATAGAAATGTAACGATCTAATACCCCTGGAAGTTTATTTCTATTCAGAGCCATAATTTGTGTTTCTGTTTACCGTCCCCGTTTTGCATTATTACCGAGCTCAAAAAGCAAGCATCAGAAAATAGTTTGGGATAAGAACAAATAAAAAACAACACAGCCGAGCTTAGAAGTCGAATACGATGAGGGGAAACTTCATGAATTTCACGGAAAAGTATCACGACTCTTGTGGATAGTCATCTCGATTTACTCGGAAATTGAGTGCCCTTCTGACACACGGCAAACAAATGCAACGAGGAAACAATATGTTACAATTTAGAATCATATAATTATCGTGATTGGCTAACCTGTAATATATGTGCCATTGAGGATATAATTACAGCCACCAAAATATTTGATTATTTCATAAAAGAAGTGAATGGATGCCTTCTGAAGCTGCTCCATCCTTGAGTTACAATTAGAAACTAGGTTTATACAACTCGCTGAATCGTGTTTCATGCAATGTAATGTGAAGAAAACACAGTACAAAGCTGTTCATTGAACAAAAACCCAACTTAATTTAGTTGCCATAAAAGAAAACAAGGAACACATTCTGGGGAATGAAAAGCCTAATTTGCGTACAAAAATGGAGGTTTGTGGTTTACGCAACCACCGTGACACTCCACTGATTATTGATCAGCATCCTCCTGCTGCAGGAGCACGAACAAACGTCGTCCTATTCGTCTATTCAGTTCACAGACTGCTTACATTAACTTAAATGATGCTTATGGTTCTGGATTTACGATATCAGCAAAAATGACTTCAAGCGTTAACCAGATCTTGATTTGTTTGATGTGAGCATGGTTGCTATGTCTCAAATGGTATTGACCTTGACCTGTGGTTTTGATTCTATTAGGTAGGGTAAAACTGGATTAAAATCTAAATCAGTTTTGAGAACACTATGGCACCTTGTCTATCTAGTGCAAATACTTAGGTGGGAAAGTGATTAGTTATTGTTTGTCTGACAGTAGATTTCAAATGTAGGTGTTTGGACTCGCAAACCACCTTGATTTTATAGCAGCCAAAGCAAAGTTTATTCATCATCTAATGTTTTGAAAAAGCGAAAAAGTAACAATTTTGAGAATTAAAAGGGTTTTCTGATGAAAAATACTTGATTTAGTTATTTTCTAGTAACAATAATTAGGCATGTGATATGATGATCATTTCTCGTGGTATTTCATGTATTCAGGGTTGGAGGGCATCTGAGATGATGAAACACAAGCTCGGAAAGTTAATTATTTTTATCACATGTCCTTGTGATGATATGGATTTCAGTGCGAGAGTGGGGAACCTCCACTGTGGTTTATCAATGACTTTGTCTTATCGGGTCACAGTTTTCACAATGCTGCAAGCCTTAGTTCCAAATTATAGAAAACACTAAAGTATTTCGATGAAAGTATTGGGAGAATTTGTCAGTTGCTCTTTCAAAACCATTGTGTAAAATATTGTATCATTCATCTACTGTATCCAATTCATGTAAATACAACGCCAAACGTGGAATGCATAACATAACAACGGGGTGCTCGAAACTTTGATCTCATCAAACCTTTCCGATTTTTTAAACATTTTTAAGTATTTTGTAATTTTTTGATCGGAATATATATACCGTTACTCAGCAGCAGCTCATTATCGACAATGTTTGGATGCATGAACCTGGCACCCACTCGAACGGGTTCGAACGACCTGGGTTTGGAGCATGGTTCTTGTCGCCCTACTTATGGATCACTGATTAAAGTCCTCACTGGGATACAGCACATGCACAGTTGCCTAAGGTAAGCAACTGTTTTGTTTTGAATGGCAGCACAAAATGTCTATGATAGATGAAAAGACCTTACATTTTGCGGAAAATTGAATCTAACAAGAATACGACAAAAATAAACAGTAATATTCCATTGTTTGTCAGGTTGCTTAGTCGGATCGAGGGTTTTCAAACATATATGAATAACTCGCAGATCGAATCCCTTTAGGAAATCGTTTGTGTAATTTGTTATGGAAAGAGAGAAAAAATTCAGTCTATGGCGTGGCTGATATCGTTGAGCAATTTTGAAGCGTTGTTACATCTTCTGATCTCAAAGGTGCACTAGCATCTACCTCTAGCCTGATGAGGATGAATTTCTTTGGAAGAACTAAAACAAGCAATCTCCTAGATCTCGGTTGTTTAGTCTGTCATGTTTTATACCAGCGACTAGTTTTGGTCCATAATCCGCTGTAAAACTGTAGCTATAAATATACCTGATTCTCACGTGCCTTAAATTTGATTTAATCAGACGCCTGTGTTGCAAGAAGAGAGGCAATGTATCCAGCGGTTTATAGGTAACACGAGTTGGCGATGTTTTATGTTCCTCCACCCATAGCTGGAGTGGAAGCGAACGAGAGTTATTTGAGTGTCTACTTTGAAACGCATAGGAATAAACGTTTGATTGCGAGTTAGTCAAATAAACGTGTTTTTTACGTATTGACGCTGTTCGTGTGATTCTGAAACTTTTTTTTGTTCTCAGTTCTGAAATTCTAATGCA